TAGGGTTGTTTGGTTATTTGGTTGTTATATCCTACTTAAAACCAATTGATAATAAATATGTGGACATTAACCATTTAACTACAGTAAGCCACAACGCCACGTCTCGAATCGAGCAGGGGTTGAACTCGGCCAACCCGGTTGACGCCCAACAATCCCCTCCTAGCACATGCCGCAACCTTTGATCACCAAGCCCAATTGCGCAGCATGTCTAACTCAGTTCTTAGCCTCCGCGCCCATCATCCCCTTCCCTCCCATGACAGGCCTTGGCCCGACCAAAAAACGAAATATAGAGTATATTAACATATACTCCATAGTAAATACTATAATATTATTTATCGTTGTATTTTTAATTTCTGACTTTTATATTATAAAAAATTTTAATTTAGACAAATGTGAGACTAACCGAAATGACTATGTCATATTGTCATTTTAAGAGAAGTGAATAGTCCTTAATAATTCAACTAACTTCCATTATTATGGTATATTTCTTGATATGTACTATCAAAGCATAAAACTTACATATTCCTAACTATATTTTGCATATATGATATATCACAATAAAAATGAAAAACTGAATTGCAAATTTAATTTGAGTAGGGTTTGCTCTTTTAAGTGCTGCATTTTCTTACAATTTGGTAGTGTGTGTGTGTGTGAGTGATTTTTTTCCCCTTTTCTCTTTTGTCTTTAAACCTGCTAGTGTTGTCTGGCTTTATTCCCCTATATAGAGCTCTAACATCTCTTTAAGCAAATTAAAGAAAAAGAATGCTGGATCAGAATATAATTGCAAGAGGCAAAAAGAAAAAAATGTATATATTTGAAATTTTAATGATTGTAGTCTTTTTTATTGCATCAATAGCCTACAATAATTTGAAAGTTAGGATCTGTTCAACTCAAAATCATGGTAATACACCCTGGCTTTACCCTTCTTTAGAACATAGTACAGCTTGTATGGCAAAAGCTCATCACAGGAAACCTAAAACCATGATTTGATTGAGGGGCAACAAATTTTTATTTTTTAAAATTTTTGTCAAATTAAATAATGACATGAAGAATCAATTTCGAAAAGCCATTCTCCCCATCCATGAAAGCTTAGCCATACGATTTTGATTTTTGGGTAAAAGAGAGGAGGGAAAGAGAAAAAGAAAAAAAAAATCTGACGAAACTAAAAATAAAAAATAAAACAAGGCTCAGGCGCGCTGGACTGTGTGCGATCAGTGCATCACACTCACGCTAGCGCGCCTCGCGCTTCCCTTTTCTCCTGCGGGTCCCACAAAACTAATGTTTGCAGGAGGATTTCACTTATTCTCTCTTATCCACATCACTCACTTTTTCTCAAAATCTGATCCAAAATCTACTATTATGGATGCTCTAATAGTGGACATTTTTATATTTTGTACATATTACTTATTAGTTTATCAAAAACTATTAACATTAATAAAATCTTATTTATGCAATGCAAATGTTAATTTATTTTATTTGAATAAATTAACTCACCTATATTTTAATATAAATTTAAAATTTTTATTTGTTAAAAAAATATGAATAAATTAAAATATTAATATTTAATCTTCATTTTTATTTTTTTGTCAATATAGATTAAAATTTTCTACAAATCTAATTTTAAAATGGTGATGGATATATATTATACTCACGATCCGACCCGGGGTAGCAACGCGGACCCGGAGCACCACGGTGGAGTCCAGGAGCAACGCGGACCCGGGGTACCACATTGGAGCCCAAGAGCAACACGGACCCGGAGCACCATGGAGGTGCCCCGACCCGAGCCGACCTACGTGGGGCTCGGGTCGGATGGCACGACCCTACCCTACCCGAGCTCGGCCTGTGGTGGGCTCGGGTAGGGGAGGTCGGTTTTACCCGAGCTCGGGACCCGACTCGACCCGGCCCGGCCCGCCCGGGCCCGGTCAAAGTAGTGATCTAACCACCCCCCGATTTAGGGGGAGGCGGTTGGAGGGTTTAGCTTGTATAAAAACCCCCCTCCTTGTCCTAACAAAGGGCATTCAATCTACATTCTACATCTATTACACACAATTTGTCCCGAGAAACATTGTAATAGCCAATTTACGGCATTTAATACAATATACGGTCACAGCCTTACGACATCATTTCGTTTGTTTATATATTATTCGTATTATATTCTTATCCGGATTTAGTGATTCGGGTCTACCCCGGGTAATTAAATCCATCAAATGGTATTTTAATTATTCTTTACAATGAAATAATAAGATAAGTGTGTGGTAAATGGTAGTAAGTGCATTCTCTATGCAAGAGGTTGAGTGTTCAAATTTTAAATATTTATAAAACAATATATAAATTGACATGTAAGTATGATGACGTGAACACCACAGCACCTATTGTCTTCAATTGTTTCACTTTTTAAAATACATAGTCAGGGCCGGATTTTGGGCTGTGCAAGTTGGGCTATAGCACATGGCTCCAAATTTTAGAGGACCCAAAATATAATTTTTACCTATCTAGTTTAGAAATAAAAACTAAAAGTTTTCAATTACATTTAAAAGGCTCCAAGGAGAAATGGTAGGGACGTGTGTTTATTGTATTTCAACTTGAAGGTTAGAGGTTTGAAACTTGCATTGCGAGTTTGTGCACATTATTATTATTATTATTCCATAATATGTCAACCCACGTCTTTTGTTTTGTTTTTTTTTTCTTTATGCACAACAAAATTTTACAACCTTCTTCTTCTTCTTCTTCTTCTTCTTCTTCTTATTATTATTATTATTATTAGAAAAAATTAGGTATGGTTTTAAAGATTATGATTTTGGTAGGGCCTTATTCATTTACCGGGCACAAAAATCTAAAAACTGACCCTGCATATAGTATATGGACTTCATAAGTACTTCGACCAAAATAACTCAAGATCAATTTCACCTCATAGCATCAATACTAGTGTTTTTTTCTTGATTTTTTGTAGGGTCCAAGGTGAGATGAATAATAATAGAGAAGAAGGAGAGAGAATGCATTTTGATCTCCTACAAGGTAAGGTTTTGTGTGGACTCCAATGAGAGAAGACATTTCTTTTGTGTCAAGATTGTTCTTTTCTTTTTTTCTTTCCTCGTTTTTTCTTCTTCTCTCTCCTTTCCCTCTCTTCTACTTGGCTTCTTAAATATTGTGCAAAAAAACCAACTATTACTTATGCTCTAAGTCTTTCTTAGGGCAACCTCAATAGCAATGATTTTTTGTGATTTTTGAGGTGCTAACTATGAGAGATGGGACGAAAAAAGATGAAGAAAAAAAATTTGAAGTGCCAACTAGGAGATAGGAGAAAAAGAGAAGGAAGAAAAAGAGATAAAAAAAAATAAAAAACATGTCTGACGCAAAAAAAAAAAAAAAAAAAAAAAAAGAGCAGTTAGCACGTCAACTGGCCCGTGCACTGCATGCGCCCAGCTAAACATGATCTGTGCAGTTCACGCACGAAATTGAGCCTCTCTTCTTCACTTTCTCTCTCATGTGGGCCACACAAAAAACTAATCTCTTGCTTCCTCTCCCTCTCCTCCACAAACTATGATTTCTTCAAAAACTGTGAATATTGTGGTTGCTCTTAATAAACAATTTATAAATTTTATCCTTTAAAAAAAAAATCAAATTGATAGACGCTTTGACTTCGAACTAATTTAACTTATCATCATATGGAATTTATATGAATCCAAATAAAGCAAAATAAAATATCCTAGTTGTGGCCAGAAAAAGACAAAGCAAATGACAGCAATCTGATGCAGAATAGGGTATTGCACAGTGGCCACACTACACTATAGATGAAGTCATCAAGGTGAGAGATTATGGAGAAACAAGACTGAAACAAACAAATAATAAAATGTTGAGATTATATATGTATATATATTATGCTTTCTTTAAACGTAACGTTAAGAATATCCATTGTCGTAAGCAAAGAAACAGGGTGGGGGGGGGTTTGGGAAAGTGAATATGTAAAAGCCCCATTCAACGATCATCATCTGTAAAGTACAAGAAGAAGATCTCATTCCCCCAACCCCCCTTTCCCCATTTCCAAGGGGGCTTTTGTTTTCCAACTTTGATCAAAAACCTATTAATATGCATAGCATAGCTTCTTTTCTTTTCTATCTCTGTTCCAGTCCTTAATGCTTACCATTTTTAAAAGAAGAGTCCAGATCAGGTGAGAATGTGAGATCCATTCCCCCTTTTATTTATTTTGATTTGAATCCCTACAGTACTTTCCACATATATTATTGTTTTGACGTTGCTGCCGACCCGGACCGGACCAACCATAAATAGTTTTTTATTATATCATTTTTTTTTTCGGTTCCACCCTATGATGACTACTATGATGACCAAAGTCTTCAATCCCTCTACCTCTAGTTTTGACCGCTGTTGGCGCTATCTTGACCTACTTAATTTCAATTGGAATCGTCCACTTCACACATTCTTTATCCGACCTGACTCAACTGATTGACAGAGGTTAAATTTGTCAATTTTGCGACTCGTTTATTAATCTCTTATGATAAATTTTACCTATATAACTAATTGAGCTATCAATGCAGGTAATTTTTGTCAAATCCTATTAGTGTATAATTGAGATTCAAGAAATAATTCAAGTACCCGTCTTATCTTCATGATTTATAAACATAGTAACATTGCACCTAATATCAAACAATATATTGTCAACATTTTAAACTTTTACTTGTGTAATTGGAATTTTTTCTTTTTGATAACCTAAGTTTTCCAATTTCGTCGGACTATATCATTGACTTTATGAACCTGCCTCATGCCTAGAAAGATGAAAATAAATTGAGCGAATCTAGCTTGGAGATTCAACACCAAACTATGTAGTTATATACACAGAGAGCCCGACCTAAATGCAAATCCAAACTCCACCCTATCACTGAAAGCAAGTAAGAAGATTCATATTTGAAATCGAATAATATTTGCCCATTGTTTCATAATAGATTTTGTGTATTATAACCCTCACTAGTCTTACAATCTGAACATAGACAAGATAATTTTGTTATTTGCATATCATAAATTACTCGCAGAAGTTTAATAGTGGTGTCTCTGCCTCAACAGCATAATACATAGAGTAAATGCAAAAATTAGAACCAAATGAAAACCAAAATGTTGAAATGAAGGTTGGATAGATAGATGTTGTTAATTCTTTTTGGAGCCACCCCAGATGGATTGCCAGAAAACGGGCCAATTCTTCTGAGCTTCATTCCAACCCAATAGTGAGCCCTCCCTCATAGGGTCCCAACTGGAGGACACTATCCCATAGCTGACACCTAAGAGGGCAGTGCCGAAGAAGATAAACGAGACGATGAAGGGTATCCAAGTGGGCACATCGATCTTTAGCCCAACTTTGAGGTAGTAAAAGAATGGGAAGAACAACAGCCCTATGAATAGAGGGATGCCCACTGATAAACCCATTCTGCTCATCATCCTATTCGTCACAATCTCCGGAATCACCCCTTCCTCTTCATCTTCCTCCACCTCTTCTTCCTTGTCTTCATCATCGTCCTCGAAGGAGCCTTTTCTAGGCTTCTTTTTGGACCTTTTGGGTTTCTTTTGGGAGGTGCCATAGCCGAAGCCTCTTGGAGTTGCTGAAAGGGTGAAGTGGGATAAGGAAGTTGATGATTGATGTGGCTTTGATTTTGGGAGTGAAAATGGAAGGAAATGTTTGGTTGGGATTGATGAAATTAGGGGCGGTAGTGGTGAGGTTCTAGGAATTGAACAAGCTTCCATTGGGTTTGCTCCCCTAGTTGGTTTAAGCATTTTGAGATGCCTAAATGGTTGGTGGGGGAAGGATTAGAGTTAAGATTTTTGGAGGAGAAATCTTATCCGTTATGGGGCCATGTCGCTCCACGTTTAGATTCTAGTCTCTCCATGACTCAATGTTGCTATCTAATTTACAATCATGCCCCTATTGAAAATTTTGGGCCAATGCCCCTTCTCTAAATCCCCAACCCTCCAACACTAATCTGCACGAACTTAGTTCAATGATTCAGTAGACAACATTTGAAATAAGAAATCAAGGTTCAAATTTTGACGACGACAGTGTGAGGATTATACCTGGACAGATCCTTTGTGCGTACCAACATTTGGTTTTGTCGACTGAGTCATTAACTCACCGTGATTTACATTCTCCCAAATACTCTATCGAACCGGGGGTAGGAACTCTTGGGGTTGGGAATTCAACCTCTTGGGAGAAGAAAATTAGGGCAACTCATCCAAATTGGTCTGACTGTTGACTTGAAAATTACAAATTTTTTAATTTTACAAGCGTCTTATTGGCCTTGACTGAGTGGGTCAGTTTTTTATGACTACAATCTAACCTATATATAGTATATGTCAACCCTTGAACTGGAATGAGACTCATACTTGTGACCTTTCATTTAGAATAGTAACAATGATGTCAACAAACTACAAAGTAATAAGCACTTCATCTTGAATAAAAAACCTCCACTACCCAATTTATATTTAGTTTAGTCTTAAGACATTTAATAAAATTAAGAATAACAAATAATATTGCTAGACCAAACCCTTACCTACACTCACTTGTTTTTAGACTTCAATCTGCAGTGAGTAGTGAGGAAAGTTTCAAAAGCTGTCATCAACATCAGTCATTTCATATATATTCTTGGTCTGACTAGTGACTACCACTTTACATGTGATATTACTATTTAGAGAGTGACACTTCTGATTTCATGTTCTACACTTCTACATACACACACAAGAGAGTTGACAAGACAGTAGATTCCCTTAGGATGATGTGCATGCTTCAAGAAATGGAAATAGCAGACAATTAACAAACAAGCAAGTTCTGCAGAAGTGTACTCACCTAAGTTTCCAGTCAAAATAGCAAGTGAAGTTGACGGGATCCTGAGGGACTCAACCGACTGCGAAAGCACAAGGATGGATGTTTTGCAAACTGAAAATTTCATATGACAATAAAGTTATTTTAAAGTGAAATATGCTCCTACATAAGCTAATTGTGGAGATAAACAATACATATCATGCCAGTTCTGTCATACTAAAATTAACCATGTCCCTTTCAGGGCATATTTAATGTTATAGGCCAAAAGGGTTATGGTAAGACTGCAAGAAAAAAGAGTGGTGCAATGTATAGTACATGAATGAGTACTAAAGCGGATGGCATGGTGTTTCTACTTTATCTGTTCGTTAAGTAGAAAAATATTCATAAAAAAACAACTTGACATAACTACAATTATCTCATCTGTGATCCAGTGCTGTAGTCAATATAAAAATTAAAGTTGTCCACACGGGTTTAACTCAATGATTCAATAGGTAGTATTTGAGAGAAAAGACCAAGGTCCGAACCTCGACGGCAGTAGTGTGGGGATTATGCCCAAAGTGGGCAGATCCCTTGTGCGTATCGGCATTTGGCCCTGTCTGCTGAGCCATTGAGTCACCTTAATTTACATCTTCCCAAATGCTCTATCGGGCCAAGATGTGGAGACCCTTGGATTTGAGGATTTAAGCTTTTGGGATAAGACATGTAATATCATGATTAGGTGACTTTTATACATTTTGGCACCAAGCCTTAGGTTAAAAAGTGTATAAGCAGAAGCCAAACTAATAAGATAGTTCAGTTGCAAAAACTCTGCAGCTTTGCGGCCTCTAGAACAAATAAGCAACAATCTAAGATTAGCAACCACCACAAATTTATTTCCAATCTGACATTTCAACATAAACTCTTCACCTCCAGATAACATCTGTGTAGAGAGATCAAATATGTTCATAAGTTCAGTTGTTTAATTTTAAGCATGTAGACACTACATAAGTAAACCTGTGCTCTAGACTTGAATCAATAGTAACAGGAACTCGACTAATTACAGTTAAGATGGGAATACATAACTAATCAGACCTTAACACACTAACTGTTCTACAAGTATTAGATATCTATCATTAAATGTAACCAAAGCCTGTACGTATGCGCAAATGTCCATCTGTAATTGCCAGAAAATAAAATCAGAAATGATAAAAAAAACACCTAAGAGTTAGTGAGCGAGAGGCAGAGACCTGAGTCGTTTCCGAGGATGGAAATGATCGGCCTCAAGCTCCTTGAGAGTCTCTGATCGAGTGGGACTGATAGTATCCATTCCAGATGGCATAAAGTCCCTCAGATCGGCGACCGTCTTGAGGTTCTCGCCGCTGATAGCTTCATCGTCAATCTCTTCATCACCTCTTTCTGATCAATGTGCTAGGAGGTGGTTGAAGTGTTGAACTGTGAGAGATTTGAGTTGCAAATCACAGTGGCGGGACTTTTGGAAGGCAGTTTGGCACGGAAAACTGGACGCATGGGCTGGCCATGTGAGACGAAGCCCAATTAAAACTTGTATAGAAACTAGAGAACAGGCCCACACTATAAACCTAGACAAATTATGCTGTGGAACCATGTCTATCTTGTAAGATGGACATGGTTTCAAAACGGTTCATAATTGGGATATATGGTTCAAAGATTATAAACATAGAGTTATATAATTATGAACATAGAGTTCTATAATTGTGAATATGAAGTTCAAAAATTATGAACATAGAGTTCAGTAATTATGAACATAGACTTCTTGAAGACAATTTGGAGTTCAATAATTGTGAATATGAAGTTCAAAAATTATGAACATAAAATTTTATAATTATGAACATAGAGTTCAATAATTATAAACATAGACTTTCTGAAGACAATTTGGAACCATGTCCACCTTGGACACCGTTCCATGGCATAACAACTGCAAATTATACCATGTGGACCTTGATTTAAAATAATATTCAAATTATATCCATGCATTTTAACATATTATGTGAACTTATGTGCTTATAACTAAATTGAAGGCAAATAATATATTAATTGCAGTCTTCACACACATAAATTATGTATCTACTATAATTAACATATTATATATCTGTAATTAACATATTATGTGCCTTCAATTTATTTATATGCTCTAATTGATAAACCAAAATACGTTAACCGAAGAGTCGTAGACACATAATCTTAATAGCGTTTTAGACAATGGTCCACAATACAAGCTAAACCCTAGTCCATAGTAATGATTGATAAATCTCAGCAAATTGAAATGTGATCCATGATCCACAATGCAAAGTGGTTGTCCATATATGTTCAATTTTAGTATATTCAATATTCATTTTTTAGGCAATGTCCTAAAAATGAATCTGTATTTTAATTGTTCACCTTACAATATGGCAGTATAATGACTAAGTCACACTCTATCAGCGCAAAATAGAGTGTATTTGAATAAACAAACGATAAATTTTATGATATTGTATTATTGTTGAGGTTAATATACTTGACATTTGTCACTCACTCGGTAATAAAAGAGTAGTTGGAGCTCATGTCAGCTATGATGAATGAATTATAATTAAATGATAATATTACCCACACTTGCTCTTATTGATATCCGGTTAACTTACTGGTTCAATAAACAATATTTAAGAGAAAAGACTAAGATTCGAACTTCAACAGTCACAATGTGGGAATTAAGAGAAAATATGAAGGTTCGAACTTCAACAGTCACATTGTGGGAATTATGTTCAAAACGAAAAGATCCCTTATGCACATCGACATTTAATCCTGTCAGTTGAGTCATTAAATCACTGTGAATTATGTCCAAAACGAAAAGATTCTTTATACACATCGACATTTAACCCTATCAACTGAGCCATTAAATCACATAAAAAATAGGAAGTATACATAAAACCCAATTTTCAATGTTGGTGACTAAGAAAAGTCCAGTGTACACACATTGTGTTGATTGAGTGTTGATAGTAGTTGAGGAAGAAAAGTCCAAGTCTCCAACGGATCGGTCATTGGTCTTTAAGCAAGAGAAACACCATTATTAGAATCGAACATACAAAAGATGAAGTGAGTGGATGAATTTTAATGTCGCGATGGATCGGGTGGTGTTCTTCCTACTGGTTCTGTGTTCAGTTCCCTCATCAATGGCATCATCATCGCTAACGAACACTCTGAAACAAGGCGATGCATTGAGAATGAACTCCTCTAACTCCACTTTTCTTATTTCTGCCAATTACAACTTCACCTTAGGATTCTTTACGCCGGAGAGAACCAAAAGGACTTACTTAGCAATACGGTTTTCAGAGAGAGATTGGGATGTATCGGTGTGGATAGCCAACAGAGAAACACCTCTCCCCACAAATGATTCTGCCGGACTTCATATAGATGCTTATGGGAGATTAGTACTCACATATACCCAAGAACAAGTACAAGGAAAACCTTACCTGCTTTCTTCAAAGCAAACTAGCCTTAATGTCACAGCAACTTTACTGGATTCCGGCAACTTCGTACTCCGGGAAGTCAACGCCGATGGTTCATTCGGGGAGGAACTATGGAGTAGCTTCGACTATCCCACGAATACCCTTTTTCCGGGGATGAAGTTAGGAGTGAACCATAGAACGGGAAGGAACTGGACTCTAACATCATGGAAAGACGATCGTTTTCCGGCGGCCGGGGCATATAGTCTAGAGTGGGAACCAAGCAAGCGTCGACTGGTAATCAAGTATGGAGGAATGGTTCACTGGAGTACTGGAGAGTTGATGAATAATGCTGTTGGTTTCCAGTACAGATCCTTTAGCAGAGGCTTCAGCGGTGACACCTTTAAATTCGTTAACATTTCAACCAAAGATGAAGAGTATTTTAGCTATCTATTCGGTGAAAATCGTACCGCCGGTTGGAGATTGGACAGCCGAGGCGTTTTGTACGATGTGATAGATAATCAATTCATCATTGACGTGCGCAATTGTTACGGGTATGGGTATGAAACTCAGCAATCAAGAGGGTGCGAGTTTTGGGGATGCAGGAGAGCTGGTCAGAGGTTTGAGGAAAGATCTGGGACATTTATGAGAGACACTGAAGATGGACGTCTAGTTATCTATGAAGACCCGACGCCTAAGAATCCCGGTGGCAGCTCCGGTGACTGCAGGGAGAATTGCTGGAACGACTGCGACTGCTTTGGTTACCGTGATGAGGGCCTTGAGGGGTGGTGTGGGTACTGGAGGGGAACAGATTTGCAATTTGAGCAGGACAACATTGGTAATACAGAACGTCTATATGTTCTTGTAGATAAGAGGAAGTCACAAAGTAAGAAGTGGATATGGATTCTTATACCCACGGCCACGGCAATGTCCACTGTCCTGGTCGTCTTGCTTCTATTGCGCTGGAGAAGGAGAAATCGAGGTACTCTCAAAATTTCTTAATCTATTCATGCCCCAATTGAATTGTGTACAATAATCCAATTAATTAAATATATACCGCCAGAAGAAGACAGGAAAGAACAAGAGCTGAAGGAATTATTGACATTGGAGGAATATAGTGATATTCATGAACTCAACAATACCGAGAATACCAGTCTCAGAGCTTTTAGTTATACATGGATTGTTGCTACAACAAATAACTTCTCATTAGATTGCAAATTGGGACATGGCGGTTTTGGAACGGTTTATAAGGTACTCTTTAATTTCATTTGCTAATTAACTATAAGCTCCACAACGTATTAATTACTTGATGGCAATGTCTTGTTTGACTGAGCAAATATTGATCATAAAATCACCTTTGATATTAGGGTATAACACCTGAAAGACAAGAAGTTGCTATAAAACAATTGTCAGAAACATCAAAACAAGGACTAGTGGAGTTCAAAAATGAGGTCGTGTTGATAGCTAAACTCCAGCACACAAATCTTGTGAAGCTGCTTGGTTTTTGCATTCATGGAGACCAAAAGATGCTTATTTATGAGTTCATGCCGAATAAAAGCTTAGATTTTTTCCTCTTTGGTATATGCTCGTACTTTATTCACTTGAATGCACATTTTTCCCAGTTAATTGGTAGTCTATGTACTCTCTATACTTGATGCATATCAACTCCCTGGTTCTCACAATAATGCACAGATCCAAATCGAAAAGAGTACTTAACCTGGGGGAGACGTCTCAATATTATTGAAGGGATCGCACAAGGCTTACTTTACCTTCACAAGTATTCAAGAGTTAGAATCATTCATAGAGACTTGAAAGTCAGCAACATACTACTTGATGAGAATATGAATCCAAAAATTGCAGACTTTGGTATGGCCAAGATACTTAGGCAAAATGTCACTGAAGCAAACACAATGAGACGAGGTGGAACATAGTAAGTGGGAAGAACTTCAATTTATTCATATACTATTTTGCTTCAATAACAAACTGCAAACTTCACTTCCTTCCCCATCTAATGTGTACTTTCAATATAAAACAGTGGTTACATGTCTCCCGAGTATGCCATGGAAGGTATTTTTTCAACAAAGTCCGATGTTTACAGTTTTGGAGTAATAGTATTGGAAATTGTAAGTGGCAGGAAGAATAATGACTTCTACAATGAAGATGGCCCCCTGAATTTGGTGGAATATGTAAGCATAATACAACTTTAAGCATTGAATTTCATGTCTGCATTCTAATTGCTTGCAACCATTATTATTTGGTGGCATTGCAGGCCTGGGAGTTATGGGAAAAAGACGCAGTGCTACAGCTCATAGATCCAGCAATAAGCATTTTGCGTGGCACTGAAGAAAAGTTGTGTAGATGCATAAATGTAGGATTACTATGTGTAGAATATTTTGTAGCCGACCGACCATCAATGTCCGATGTGATTACCATGTTAACTAATGAAAATATGGCTTTGCGAAAGCCCAAAAAACCTGGATTTGTCTCAAGATGCAGTGTAGCAGACGAAATTCAAGAAGGCAAGTCAGAGAAGTTCACAGTAAATGAACTCTCTATTTCAGCTATGGAGGCAAGATAGTGCTGCAATTCACTATTTCATAGAAATATTTTGTTACAGTGTTACATTATAAATTCAAACTATCCAGAAATAGACTTTCAATATTTTTTTTTTTTAAAACACTATGTGATAGATATATAATCGATTCCAATTCAAGTTTCCAACTAAAATCATATTTTTATTTAATCTTTATCTAATTTGGTTATTATAATTAAAATTTTAATAAAATTAAGATTAAAAATTAATATTGCTAGCTCAAACCGTTACCTAGGCTCATGTCTTTAATAACTCCATTCGGTTGTAGTTAGTAGAGTTTCATAGTTGTCATCAACAAAGTATTTATCAAGGGATACCTCGTGGTGGGCGGCCTGGGTGCCACCAGAGGAAAGATGGGTCAAACTCAATACGGATGGAGTTCAAAAGATGACTATGGGGTTAGCAAGTGCAGGTGGACTTGTCCAAGATCATCTTGGCGGGAAGAAGCTGGGGTTTATGGTAAAGGTAGGGCTCGACCGAACTTTGGATGCTACGGAAGGGGATTCAGTTAGTTAAGGAAAAGGGGTGGAATAGAGTAGTAGTTGAGTCGGACTCGGAAATGGTGCCATGGTGGTGAAAACAATGCTTAGAGATTTGGATGCATACCAGGAATTGTCACCGCTCATTGCAAATTGTAAGAAACTTGTTTCTCTATGCAGTATCATGAAGATATCCCATACCTTGAGGGAAGGAAATATATGCGAAAATTTTCTTGCCAATTGGGACAGGACCAGAGTTGAGATACTATAGTCTTGGGTCAACGGCAAGATAATATGGTTGATTTGCTTTAGGCTGATGGGCTAGGCATTGCTATACGAAGAGTGAAGTAGTCGCCCCTAGGGGTTCCTTAATGATGTACCAAAAAAATAGTTGTCATCAATGGGTCAGACATTTTATATTCTTGTTCTAAATAGTGATATTCTGATTTCATGTTTTACGCTTCTACATATACACACAAGATAATTGACAAGACAATAGATTCCCTTAGGAAGATGTGCATGCTTCAAGAAGTGTAAATAGCAGACATCAATCAAGCAAGTGCATAAGTTTAGTAGTTTACTTACCTATGTTTCCAGTCAGAATATGAATAGCATGTTGAAGTTGATGGGATCCTGTAATTGATCCTCAGAGACTCAAAGGCTTCTGTAATCACCCGTTGCCATGCCTCTGCTTGGATCTGTACAAACAGCACAAGTACAGTTATAATAACTGTAAAAAGAAACCTTATTTTAAACTAAGATGTAAAATCTCATATTATGATTTTGGTCACTAAATACAAAAGTTTTCAGAACTAAGTTTCCCTTTTTCTCCAGCTAGGAAAATTTTAAAGAGTAAACAACAGAGTATTGTAATTGAGTCAAATCCTCGATACAGTTTGGGCAGCAAAGAGATTCAACTACATTCATTTAACACTGAATGAGGAAAGATTCACAATTTGTTATTTGAAGAAGCAACCATGCATAGACTTGAAATTCCTTAACTGAAGTACTGAACTGAACAGCCTGCTGAGCATATTTGGAATAAGCATGAATTGTAATATACATAAGATTTGAAGAGAGCTTGGAATATAAAGTCACAAATTCCACACTGGTGCAAGATGCATATTAAACTTGGCAACAAAAATATCAGTCAGTGATACAATACCATAAGTTACCAACCATTACAAATCCTTGGTCCATCGTAGTTTGGAAGTTCTATATTTCTAAATGTATCCATATTCTGAACCTTCATAAACTCCAATAATACACCTTACAATATTCTTAATCGTGTAAGATATCATGTGGAAGTTCAAGAAAATGAAATTTATATTGTGTTAAAACAAACTCCAATCAAATGCCTCAACATAAATCAAGACAAGTTTATTATCTACCACATTGAACTACAAGTCTATAACCAATCAATTTGCTCCTAAGAACTACTTTCAAACAATATGCTGAGCAAATATAAGAAACACATGCCAAAAGTAATCAAATTTCACTACATTGCAAGGCCAGGCATGTTATATCATGATTACAGTGACTTTTATACATTTTGGCACCAAGCCTTAGGTTGAAAAGTGTATAAGCAGAAGCCAAACTAATAAAATAGTCCAGTTGCAAAAGCTATGCATCCTCTGGTACAAAGAAGCAACAATCTAAGATTATCAATCACCACAGATTTATTTCCAATCTGACATGTCAACATAAACTCTTCACTTCCAAATCACATTTGTGTGCAGAGAGATCAAATAAATTCATATGTTTGATTGTGCGTACAACTAAACATTTTAGTTAATAGTCCAAAAACAAACAGAAATATGTCAATAATTATTACTCCCTAATGAAGTAAACTGGCTTATCTATAGTAACTTGTATTCTAGACTTGAATTAATAACTAATCAACCTTATTAACACTAACTGTTCTAAACTCTAGAAGTATTAGATGTCTTCATGTCTAATGAGTAAATGTAACCAAAAGCTGTATGTATGTGCAATTGTGCATCTGTAACTGCCAGGAATTCAAAGCAGAAATGATAAAAACACCAGCGCTAGGAAATAAAATCTTCAATTCACAAAATTTAGTGAAGGAGAGGCAGCGACCTTAGTCGTTTCTGAAGATGAAAATGATTGGCATCAAGCTCCCTGATCGGGAGACTCGGTGGCGCCGCTGCTTACGGTGACGTCTAAAGAAATTTCGGCGCTGATAGCTTCCTCGTGGATCTCTTCCTCAGCTCTTTCTGATCAACAGAGAGAGATTTTGGTTGCAATTCTCAGTGGCGGGATTTTCGGACGGAGGACTGGAAGTAAAACTGTAAAAGATAGATATGCATGTTGTGAAAATGGGCTGGGCCATGTGGCAAGCAAGACCAAGCTTTCTATGAAGCCCAACTTGTTCCCAAAATTTTGAAACCAAGCCCACAGTATATACCTCGCACTATATCGGCCCAAATTAGAGCGTATTTAAAATAAAATTTGCTTTTATTGCTTTTAATAAACGTAATTTGGTACCTTAAATTGCAATCGTTATGCCTTGGACCCGTGTCCAGCAAGCAACACGGGTAACAGTGCCGTTAGGCACTGTTATCTCTTTTTTTTTTTTTTTTTTTTTTTTTTTTAATTTCAGATCACTTTGTTATAGAAGTATATGTTCATAATTTTATTACTATATGTTAATAACTATACATTCATAACTCCATAACTGTACGTTCATAACTCTATAACTGTACATTCATAACTCTATAACTGTACATTCATAACGTCATAACTGTACATTCATAACTCCATAATTGTACATTCATAATTTTCGAAGCTCTATGTTCACAATTTTAGAGCTCTATGTTCATAATTTTATCACTATATGTTCATAATTGTAAGTTCATAATGTTAGAGCTCTTTGTTCATAATTCGATCAATAACTGTACATTCATAATTCCATAACTGTAGATTCATAATCTCATAACTGTAGATTCATAACTCTATAACTGTACATTCATAATCTTCGAAGCTCTATATTCACAATTTTAAAGCTCCATGGTCATAATTTTATCACTATATATGTTCATAATTGTAAGTTCATAATGTTAGAGCTCTGTGTTCATAATTTCATAATTGCATAACTGTACATTCATAACGGCATAACTGTACATTCATAATCAAAAAAAAAAAAAATAACGCCGTTAACGACAAAACGCGCGCGATTTTTTTTTTTTAACAAAATGACGCGTTTTTTTTAAAAAATGATGTCGTTTTGGGCCCGTGTCCACAATTCATTGTGGACACGGGTCCAGGGCATAATTTGCCCTTAAATTGGTACTTAAATTCAATAAATCAAGCCGGTGCGTGCTTTATACTTATGGTGTATTGGTGGGGCTCACCATAATAATAATAATAATAATAATAATAATAATAATAATAATAATAATGAAGACAAAAAAAATTAAGCCGTGACCAACATCAAGCGAGCTCGTGCACTACACAAGTTTGCTTGGTGTGTAAAGTGTAAACCGTAACCAACATCATTTTTTTCTATTTCTTTTTTAGTTTCTTTTAAAACCCAAACGAACAGGCAGTAGTCACTATCCGGATACACACTTTACATGTTACTATGTGTGTCATACTCAATAAAAAATGTGTTAATAAGAATTAAATTCGTGACCTTCTGTTTCATATCATATTTCACTCATTACGCCACATACCTTTAGTCTTTAGAGGTGTTTCTTATAAATTTTGTATTCCACAAGAAGCCGCAACAATAACTTTCATAGTTTCAAAGAACACGTTATGTACCAAGTGAAGATAAAAGATCAATAATGGTGATTAAGAAATTTCTAATATTCTCATTGTGTTGACCAAATCCTCATGGTTGTGGATTCATTTGAGCATTGATAGTTTTCCCATGACATGGAAAGTATTACAATCACATATGAACAAAAATCATTGCTATTGTTCCGTTCCATTATATTGGTCTAGTAAATAACAAGTTTCATTTAAATATTGACATTAAGGATCTTATTTGATTTGAATTTATTGTAAGTAGAAGTGTACATGTTTAGATATAATTTTAGTTAAGGTTTCTTTGTAAATAAAGATGTCAAAGAGGTAGGGTTAGGGGCATACCCTATCGCTGCCTCCAACTTTTCTCCCCATTCCCCGTCCCCGTCCCCATCCCCATCCCGTGAGGAAGGGAATGCAAAGATTATAAACTGTACTTGACGTCTCCACATTGGGAAATTCATGGTAGTAAGTTTAATGGGAAAGTTTGTAGGGGCATTCAGTTGGATTATATTGTTTGTGGCTATAGCAGTGGCTGCAGTGAAAGTCATGTGGGTAGGAGATAAAAAAAACTTCGTAGGAGATTCAAGGCTCTTGATACCATGTAAAGATTATAAACTGTACTTCATTGATGTAAAATAACAAACTATAAATAGTGTATAAGTGAGGGAGAATAGTAGGAGGTTGTAACAACTTGTTCAAACACACCTATTCTACAGGAGCATAACTACCACAAATATAAAGAGATAAAATGCCAGCCACACATATCCTTAACAGGGAAAAATCTCACCATACCTATCCCCCACAAGGATGATCCAAGGATTGGAAAATTCCCTACTCCATTTATATATAACTTATAAAAATGAATAAAAATATAAATACGTTTAAATAAATAGTCATCTATATTCATTTTCAATTTAAAGTAATACTAAAATTATATATTATATACGAGTATAATACATATGTGTGCATTGTGTGACTAGAATGCAGGATGGTGAGAGTACCCTCAAGTTCCAATCCCCATAAGGAATTAAAGTTCCTCATCCCCATCTCTGTCCCCTGATTTTCAATTTTCTTCCTGTCTGGATGAAGAATGGATTTTCAATTCGTGTATAATTGACATCCCTACTTGCTAATTAAGAAAAATCACATTTGTTTGATTAGTCGTAGTAGTAGTTGAGAAAGAAAATTGGAACTCTCCAGCAATAATCTTTTGACTTTTAAGCAACAACAGAAACACCATTATTAATAACCTCCAGAAAATCAAATCTTAATTAATCTGATGGTCTGATGGAGGAGGTGGTGTTCTTCCTACTCATTCTGTGTTCCCTGCCCTCAATTGCTTCATCTTCGCAGACCGACACTCTGAAACAAGGTGACGCGTTGAATTCCTCCTCTTTTCTTGTTTCAGCCAACAACAACTTCACCTTAGGGTTCTTCCATCCGAAGAGAAGCAACAACACATATTTAGCAATACAGTGCAGAGCATGTAATTGGAGTGATCCGGTATGGATAGGCAACAGAGAAACGCCTCTACCCATAAGTTCCCCCGCCACCCTTCAAATAGATGCTTCTGGGAGATTAATACTCACACATACTGGTGAAGGGCAAGACAATCCTTACCTGATGCTTTCATCAAAGCAAACTAGTCTTAAAGTGGAAGCAACTTTACTGGATTCCGGCAACTTCGTACTCCGGGAGGTCAACTCCGACGGGGAGGAACTGTGGAGTAGTTTCGACAATCCCACGGATACCCTTTTGCCGGGGATGAAGTTAGGAGTGAACCATAGAACGGGTAGGAATTGGACTCTAACATCATGGCAGGACGATCATAATCCGGCGGCAGGGGCGTTTAGTCTCGAGTGGGAACCAACAAAGCGCCGACTGGTTATCAAGAATCGAGGAGTGGTTCGTTGGACCAGTGGAGAGTTGATGAACGCTACAGATTTCCAGCACGTATCCATTAACGGCTTTGCCGCCCACACCTTTAAATACATAAACATTTCAACAAAAGAAGAAGAGTCTTTCAGTTATGCAGTAACGCCTGCTCCATTTTTATCTCCCCAAGACACAATAAAAAACCGTCTCGCTGGTTGGAGAATGGACGCCGGAGGCTTTCTGGGCGACATTATAGGTTCTCGAGTTATCATTGACGTGAGAAATTGTTACGGGTATGAGAATGAAGCTCAGCAATCAATAGGGTGCGAGTTATGGGAGCAACCACCTTGCAGGGGTGGTGGGCAGACGTTTGAGGAAAGATCTGGGACAGTATTTAAGAGAGACACTGAAAATAGAATTATAATGGTCGACGGTGAGATGACGCCTAAGAATTCTAGTGGTAGCCCCAGTGACTGCAGGGAGAATTGCTGGAACGACTGTGACTGCTTTGGTTACCGGAGCTACCCTGATGAGGGGAGCTGTGGGTACTGGAGGGGAACAGATCTGCAATTTCAACAGGACAGGGCTGGTAATACACCACATCTATATGTTATAAACCGTCCAGATAAGGGTAAGCCACGAAGTAAGATATGGATATGGATTCTTATACCCATGGCAACGTCCACTGTCCTGCTCGTCATGCTTCTTCTTCGCCGGAGAGGGAGAAAACGAGGTACTTTCAATTATGACTCTCTACTTTGAAAACTTTTGCTCAACCTTCTAAATTCTCATGTGTTAGCGAATAAGATTTTAAGGAAAGTATGCTATACACGACTCGAATTTGTTTTAACCATGACGGTTCATTGTTTCGCTTACATTTAAATAATATCCTACGTTGTGTACAATAATATCTTGTATAGTCATCTAATTAATTACATATATACTGGCAGAAGAAGTTAGGAAAGAACAAGAACTGAAGGAATTATTGACATTGGAGGAATATAGTGATATTCATGAACTCAACAATACCGAGAATAACAATCTCAAAGCTTTTAGTTATACATGGATTGTTGCTACAACAAATAACTTCTCATTAGATTGCAAATTGGGACATGGCGGTTTTGGAACGGTTTATAAGGTACTCTTTAACTTCATTTGTTGATTAACTATAAGCTCCACAACTTATTAATTACTTGATGACTATGTCTTGTTTGACTGAGCAAATATTGATCATAAAGTCGCCTTTGATATTAGGGTATAACACCTGAAAGACAAGAAGTTGCTATAAAACAATTGTCGGAAACATCAAAACAAGGACTCATGGAGTTCAAAAATGAGGTCGTGTTGATAGCTAAACTCCAGCACACAAATCTTGTGAAGCTGCTTGGTTTTTGCATTCATGGAGACCAAAAGATGCTCATTTATGAGTTCATGCCGAATAAAAGCTTAGATTTTTTCCTCTTTGGTATTTACTCGTACTTTATTCACTTGAATGCACATTTTTTTCCAATTAATTGGATGCATATCAACTCCCTAGTTCTCACAATAATGCACAGATCCAAATCGAAAAGAGTATTTAACTTGGGAAAAGCGTCTCAATATTATTGAAGGGATCGCGCAAGGCTTACTTTACCTTCACAAGTATTCAAGAGTTAGAATCATTCATAGAGACTTGAAAGTCAGCAACATACTACTTGATGAGAATATGAATCCAAAAATTGCAGACTTTGGTATGGCCAAAATACTTAGGCAAAATGTCACTGAAGCAAATACAATGAGACGCGGTGGAACATAGTAAGTGGGAAGAACTTCAATTTATTCATATACTATTTTGCTTCAATAACAAACTGCAAACTTCACTTCCTTCCCAATCTAATGTGTATTTTCAATACAAAACAGCGGCTACATGTCTCCCGAGTATGCCATGGAAGGTATTTTTTCAACAAAGTCCGATGTCTACAGTTTTGGAGTAATAGTATTGGAAATTGTAAGTGGCAGGAAGAATAATGACTTCTACAATGAAGATGGCCCCCTGAATTTGGTGGAATATGTAAGCATAATACAACTTTTAAGCATTGAATTTCATGTTTGCAATCTGCATTCTAATTGCTTGCAACCATTATTATTTGGCCGCATTGCAGGCCTGGGAGTTATGGGAAAAAGATGCAGTGCTACAACTCATAGATCCAGCAATAAGCATTTTGCATGGCATTGAAGAACAGTTGTGTAGATGCATAAATGTAGGATTACTATGTGTAGAATATTTTGTAGCCGACCGACCATCAATGTCTGATGTGATTTCCATGTTAACTAATGAAAATATGGCTTTGCGAAAGCCCAAAAAACCTGGATTTGTCTCAAGATGCAGTGTAGCAGACGAAATTCAAGAAGGCAAGTCAGAGAAGTTCACAGTAAATGAACTCTCTATTTCAGCTATGGAGGCAAGATAGTGCTTCAATTTACTGCTACATAAAAATATTTTGTTACAGTGTTACATTATAAATTCAAACTATCCAGATAGATAGATTTTCAATAATTTAATCAAAAGCTCTGCATCCTCTGGAACAAAGAAGCAACATTAATCTAAGATTATCAATCACCACAGATTTATTTCCAATCTCACATGTCAACGTAAACTCTTCACTTCCAAATCACATTTGTGTGCAGAGAGATCAAATAAATTCATAAGTTTGTTTTTGGACTATTAACTAGTCCAAAAACGGCAATCAAATAATGTTTAGTTGTACGCACAATCAAACAAAAAATGGCAATAACTATCACTCCGTAACGAAGTAAACTGGCCTATCTAAAGTAACTTGTATTCTAGACATGAATTAATAACTAATCAACCTTATCAACACTAACTGTTCAAACTGTAGAAGTATTAGATGTCTAATGAGTAAAATGTAACCAAAGCTGTATGCATGTGCAATTGTGCATCTGTAACTGCCAGGACATCAAAGCAGAAATGATAAAAACACCAGCTCACTTGGGGCATAAACAGTAACTAACACAGTTCTATTTTTTCCCTTTCCTTTTTGGTTTTTCTTTTAAAACCCAAACAAGCAGACAACCGTCACTATCAGGGTGCACACTTTGCATGTTACTATGTCCATCATATTCGATAAAAAAAAAAAATGTACGGACTGATCACAATAGATATGATTTTAGTTAAATCATGTTTGTGACTAAGTCCGGAGGTTCCGGACTATGGTCCAATGAGTTTTTGAGCAACCGAAACACCATTATTCATAACCTACAGAAATTCAACTTAGTGGATGTATTGCATATTAATCTAGTGGTGGTCTGATGAAGGTGGTGTTCTTCCTAGTGATTCTGTGTTCCGTGGCCTCAACTGCTTCATCTTCGCAGACCGACACTCTTAAACAAGGTGATGCCTTGAACTCCTCCTCCGCTCCACTTGTTTCTGCCAACAACAGCTTCAGCTTAGGGTTCTTGGCGTTCTTCACGCCGGAGGGAACCAACAGGACATATTTAGCAATACAGTGCACGGAATGTGATTCGAGCGGGGAACCGGTATGGATAGGCAACAGAGAAACGCCTCTCCCCACAAATTCCTCCGCCACCCTTCAAATAGATGCTTCTGGGAGATTGATACTCACCTATACGGAAGGACAACGCAACCCTTTCCTGCTGCTTTCATCAAAGCAAACTACCCATAAAGTCGAAGCAACTTTACTAGATTCCGGTAACTTTCTACTCCGGGAGGTCAACGCCGATGGTTCATTGGGGGAGGAACTGTGGAGTAGTTTTGACAATCCCACGGATACCCTTTTGCCGGGGATGAAGTTAGGAGTGAACCATAGAACGGGTAAGAAATGGAGTCTAACATCATGGCAGGACGATGATAATCCGGCGGCAGGGGCATTTAGTCTGGAGTGGGAACCAAGCAAGCGTCGGCTGGTTCTCAAGAATCGAGGAGTGGTTCGCTGGACGAGTGGAGAGTTGATGAGCGCTACTGATTTCCAGCACATAACCGTTAACTACAGCGGCCTTTACTTCGGCCGACATACCTTTGAATACGTAAACATATCAAAAAAAGAAGAAGAGTCTTTCAGCTATGCAGTAACGCCTATTTCATATTTATCTCCCCAAGACCAAATAAAAAATCGTCTCGCTGGTTGGAGAATGGACACCGGAGGCAATTTGCGCGACATTATGGGTGGTCTAGCTATCGCTGTCGTGGGGAATTGCTATGGGTATGAGGATGAAACTCAGCAATCAAATGGGTGCGAGTTATGGGAGCAACCCCCTTGCAGGGGTGGTGGCGAGACGTTTGAGGAAAGATCTGGGACATTTATGAGAGACACTGAAAATGGGCGTCTACAGGACCCCGGTGACATGACGCCTGAGAATTCTAGTGGTAGCCCCAGTGACTGCAGGGAGAATTGCTGGAGCGACTGCGACTGCGTTGGTTACCGGAGCTACCCTGAGGGGAGCTGTGGGTACTGGAGGGGAACAGATCTGCAATTTGAACAGGACAAGGCTGGTAATACAGTACATCTATATGCTCTAAACCGTCCAGATAAGGGTAAGCCACGAAGTAAGACATGGATATGGATTCTTATACCCATAGCAATATCCACTGTCCTCGTCATCTTGCTTCTACTGTGCCGGAGAAGGAGAAAACGAGGTACTCTCAGTTTCTTAGCTAGATCTATTCATGCCGGCCTATTTAACTTTGTATAATAACGGTCTTGTCAAGTTGGTTAGGCAATTGATTTAGTAACAGCAGAATTACAAATTCTACTTCCAATAAGAGCTGTTTATCTGCTTTCTTAGTTTGAACCGGTCAGATGTCCCTATGGGTCTACCCAATGCATTTTTTTCATTACTCAAAATAATGTCTCTCATAATCATATGATTGAATATATATTTGCAGAAGAAGCAAGGAAAGAGCAAGAGTTGAAGGACCTATTGACATTGGAGGAATACAGTGATATTCATGAGCTCAGCAGCGGGGAAAATGGCAGTCTCAAAGTATTTAGCTATGCATGGGTGGTCGCTACAACCAAAAACTTTTCATCTGACTATAAATTGGGACAAGGTGGTTTTGGAAGTGTTTACAAGGTACTCGATTTAATTCGAAACTAATATAGCTTCTTGGTTGGTTAATGAGTAATAAATCTTGATTGATGAAGCAAGAACTGATTATAGACACTTTGGTATTAGGGATTAACACCTGAAGGAGAAGAAGTAGCTATAAAACAATTATCGGAAAAATCAACACAAGGACTCGTGGAGTTCAAAAATGAGGTGGTGTTGATAGCTAAACTCCAGCACACAAATCTCGTAAAGCTGCTTGGTTTTTGCATTCATGGGGACCAAAAGATGCTTATTTATGAGTTCATGCCCAATAAAAGTTTAGATTTTTACCTCTTTGGTAATTACTCCTACTTCCTATTTGGTAGTCCATATATTCTCTATGGTTGATGCATATTAACTCCCTAATTTTAAATTTAACATTCAAGATAATTCACAGATCCAGAAAGAAAAGGGCATTTAACTTGGGAGAAACGCCTCAACATCATTGAAGGAATTGCTCAAGGCCTGCTTTACCTTCACAAGTACTCAAGAGTTCGTATCATTCATAGAGATATGAAAGTTAGTAACATATTGCTTGATAAGAATATGAATCCAAAAATTTCAGACTTTGGTATGGCCAAGATACTCAGGCAAAATGCCACGGAAGCAAACACAATGAGACTAGGTGGAACATTGTAAGTCGGAAGGACTTCAATTTATTTATTTTTCAAGAGCTAAGTTTGCTTATAATAACTACAAACTTGATTTCCTTTTCAATCTAATGTGTATGGTTTAATATAATATAGTGGTTATATGGCCCCTGAGTATGCTATGGAGGGTATTTTCTCTACAAAGTCTGATGTCTATAGCTTCGGAGTACTAGTACTGGAAATTATAAGCGGCAAGAAGAACAATCACTTCCGCAGTGAGGATGGCCCCCTGAATTTGGTGGAACATGTAAGCCTAATACAACTTTAAGCATTGAATTTCATGTTTTTAACTTAACTGCTTGCAACCATTATTGTTTGACTGCATTGCAGGCATGGGAGTTATGGAACAGAGATGCAGTGCTGCAGCTAGTGGATCCAGCAATAAGCAATGTGTGTGGCAATGAAGAACAGTTGCGGGGGTGCATACATGTGGGACTACTATGTGTCGAAGATTTTGCAGTCGACCGACCATCTATGTCGGATGTGGTGTCGATGTTAGGCAATGAAAATATGGCATTGCCAAAGCTAAAAAAGCCTGCATTTGTCTCAAGATTCAGTGTGCCCGACAGGTTTCAGGATGACAAGTCAGAGAAGCTCACAGTGAATGAACTCTCCATTTCAGTTATGGGGGGAAGATAGTGTTGCAATTTACTACTTTATAAAGATATTTTGTTGTAGTGGTACACTATAAATTCAAACTATTTAGACAGATGCAGTATGAATATATGATGGGTGCACAAAGAAGTTTCACTTTAAATAAACAAGATTTGATATTTTGAATATGTGTTCAAGTTTAATGAATTAATTAAATATTAAATGTCGTGCATAATGAGTAATACAGTAAGATATGAGAAGAGACATGGGCTTAACAGATAATAGAAGACTTACCTTCAGTGGCTCTAAACCATAACAGAATCTTTCTGATACTTCTCTGCTTCACCATTCACCCATTTACCCGCTTGTACTTAGATCTGTATAAACTCCCAACAAGCACAGAGTATAATAAGTCTCAAAAGATGTATGCATTCCGATAAAAAAGGATGTCTAGCACAAGCAACCTTAAGAGCAAGGATTAGGTTAAGGGCATACTGAAATTTTTCAATCAAATGCCTCACCATAAATCAAGACAAGTTTATTATCCACCAGATTTAACTACTACAGATAAGCAAAAATATAAGATTATCAACTACCAAAAAATTATTTCCAGATAAACCTGTATGCACGGGCAATTGTGCATCTGTAACTGCCAGGAGATTAAAGCAGAAATGATAGAAACACCAATGCAAGCAAATAAAATCTTCAATTCACAAGATGTATAAGTGAAAGAGAGGCAGAGACCTTGAGTCGTTTATGGAAATTATTGGCCTCAAGCTCCTTGAGAGTCTCCGAGTGCGACTGATCAAGCTGGCGCTTGACAGTATCCAGTCCAGATGACGCAAAGTCCCTCAGATTGACATCGTGAAGTCTGCATAGGCACTGGACTCTTCCCTCCCCTCTGGCGTCAGTGGAGTAGCATTAAACGAAGTGAACTTGAACTCGAAGTGCCTGTGAGACTCGCAGGCGGATTTGTTAGGGCTCGCCGCTGCCGACGGTGAAGTCTCCAGAAATGTCGCCGCTGATAGCTTCCTCATCGACCTCTATTCTCTCTTCCTCAGCTCTTCCTGATCAGTGTGCTAGCCTGCTAGGACATGGTTCAAGTGTTGAACTGTGACAGAGCTTGGGTTGCACTTCACATTGGCGGGATTTTCGGAACGAAAATCTGTAAAATTCCGCGGAACACTGGAAGTTAAGCTGGATGAGCATGTAGTGATAATGGGCTGGGCCATGTGGGACAAAGCCCTCAATGAAGCCCATTAAAAACATAGTAGAGATAAAAAAAAAAAAAAAAAAAAAAAAAAAAAAAAAAAACTGGCAAATTATTGTGTAGACCATGATCCATACATTGTTGTGTGGATCATAATAAAAAGTACATTTTTAAATTTTAATATACTAAAAGCATATTCGGCTATGTTTGTTTGACAAACTTAGCTGAAAACTGAAGAGCTATTAATTAGCTTATTATGGTTTAAAATGTTTGGTAAAATTAACTTTTTGATAAACTGATAAATGTAAAAAGGTTAAAACAGACATTTTCATAAAATGTAAATGATGTGATTATTACAATATTTTTATATTATTAAATATATGAGATATATTTAATTTATAAAAAAAAAATTGTGTTTTTATAATATATATATATATATATATATATATATATATATATATATATATATATATATATATATATATATATATATATATTGAAACCAGATATATATATTAAATTAAAACAAAACAAAAAAAAGTTTTTAATTGGTAAGGGTAAATGATGTGATTTATTTATGAACGGACGATTGGAGTTAGAACTTTAAAGAGTTGTTGAGTGGTGAAGAATTGTGGAGGGAGGATGAATAAAAATATAGGAGAAGAGAAAAGGTCAAAATATTTTAATTGAGAAGGTTAAAACATGTCATTTATTTGAAATAATAAGGATAAAGATGAAAAAAAAAATTAGGAAGCTCCTAGCTTATTTTAAAATGTTATCTAAAATAGATTTTCAAAATAAGCTCTTATTTTAAGCTACTAGTTTATTTTGAAAACATTACCAAACGGAACTTATAGCTTATTAATAACTTATAACTTAAAATAAGTTATGAGCTCCTAGATAACTAGATAAGCTTTGCCAAACAGAGCCTTCGTGTATTGAATTTACATTATACAAAATAATGTATTTTCCATGAATACAACGTACATTTTTAATATATTAAAAATATATTATTTATGTATTGAATGTACATTATTTGACAATATAATCCACACATATATATGTGTCATAGTCCACACAATAATAATTGTAAGAAGCTAAGAAAGGCCTATCTTGTTCCCAACATCTTGAAAACATGCCTACACTATCAACCTCACACACTATCGACCCAAACTAGAGTGTCTGCCCGGGGTCGCCACCCACTCTTTGGTGTGACAATTTGGATGCCACTTACTTGTGTGTTAACCCAGTTTTTCATGTTAGGACGAAGCATGTGAAGATTGACTACCACTTTGTTCGTGACAAGGTAACAAAGAAGGAGTTGCAGGTTCATTTTATTTCCTCAAAAGATCAGCTAGCGGATGTCTTTACTAAGGCTCTTCCTGGTCCGCGATTCACCTTTCTACGTGGCAAGCTCAATGTTCTATCGCACCAACATTATTAGGAGTCTATTATTATTAGTAGTTGTGTTACATTAAGACTCGTATTATTGTATTTTTATACTATCATTATACAGTCATGTATGATTAACATTTAGAGATATCAATCCTCATCCTCATGTGTTGACCAAATCCTCATGGTTACTTGTGCGGATTCATTTATGAGCACGCGTTGATAGTTTTCACATTGACATGAAAAGTACGTATTGAATCACATATGGGCAAAAATCATTCATATTGTTCCAAACTATGATTCAGTGAATGAGAAGCTTTATTTATCTAAGTGTGAGTTGAATTTATTGTATGCAGAAGTGTATTGATTGATCACATTAAATATGATTTTACTTAAGATTTTCACATAAATTCTGAAAAATTATGTTTGTTTGGAGGCAATCCCAACAAAATTGGTTAGGTTGACTTTGTAATCACAATGTTACAAGTACGACAATTCTATTCGGAGAGAAGTCACTTATTGATCTTCTTAATTTGAGTCCGTTAGTTATTGACAAGAATCAATCTAAATTAGTTTACTTCATCTTGATTATTTTTCAACTAGAGATTTTTTGCACACTCTCAAATAGTGAGTACAGATTTTTCTGGTCAATAAAAAAATGGAGTTTGTTTGATTAGTCGCAGTAGTAGTTGAGAAAGAAAATTGGAACTCTCCAGCTATAGTCTTTTGACTTTTAAGCAACAGAAACACCAGTATTAAACTATTAATAACCTACAGAAAATCAAATCTTAATTAATATGATAGTCTGATGGAGGAGGTGGTGTTCTACCTACTGATTCTGTGTTCCGTGGCCTCAATCGCTTCATCTTCGCAGACCGACACTCTGAAACAAGGTGACGCGTTGAACTCCTCCTCTTTGCTTGTTTCAGCCAACAACAACTTCACCTTAGGGTTCTTCACGCCGGAGAGAACCAACAGGACATATTTAGCAATACAGTGCAGAGCATGTGATTCGAGCGAACCGGTATGGATAGGCAACAGAGAAACGCCTCTCCCCATAAATTCCTCCGCCACCCTTCAAATAGATGCTTCTGGGAGATTGATACTCACCTATACGGAAGGACAACGCAACCCTATCCTGATTTCATTGAACCAAACCAGCCTAAATGTCACAGCAACTTTACTGGATTCCGGCAACTTCGTACTCCGGGAGGTCAACTCCGACGGGGAGGAACTGTGGAGTAGTTTCGACAATCCCACGGATACCCTTTTGCCGGGGATGAAGTTAGGAGTGAACCATAGAACGGGTAAGAAATGGAGTCTAACATCATGGCAAGACGATGATATTCCGGCGGTAGGGGCGTTTAGTCTCGAGTGGGAACCAACAAAGCGAAGATTGGTTCTAAAGAATCGAGGAGTGGTTCGTTGGACGAGTGGAGAGTTGATAAACGCTACTGATTTCCAGCACATAACCATTAACTCCAGCGGCCTTTACAACGGCCTGCATACCTTTGACTACGTAAACATATCAACAAAAGAAGAAGAGTCTTTCAGGTATGCAGTCACGCCTCTGCCCGATCCATTTCTATCTCCCGAGCAAAAAGTTAAAAACCGTCTCGCTGGTTGGAAATTGGACACCGGAGGCGCTTTGGCCGACATTGTGGGTAGTATGCATATCGTTGACGTGGGGAATTGTTACGGGTATGAGAATGAAACTCAGCAGTCAATTGGGTGCGAGTTATGGGAGCAACCCACTTCTTGCCGGGGTGGCGGCGAGACGTTTGGGCAAAGAGATGGGACATTTAAGAGAGACACTGAAAATGGACTTATAGTGGTCGGCGGTGACATTACGCCTAAGAATTCTAGTGGTAGTCCCAGTGACTGCAGGGAGAATTGCTGGAACGACTGCAATTGCGTTGGTTACCGGAGCTACCCTGAGGGGAGCTGTGGGTACTGGAGGGGAACAGATCTGCAGTTTGAACAGGAAAACACTCAAATGGGTACAGTACCTCTATTTCGTCTTATCCGTCCAGAAAAGGGTAAGTCACCAAGTAAGACATGGATATGGATTCTTATACCCATAGCAGTGTCCACTGTCCTGGTCGTCTTGCTTCTATTGCGCCGGAGAAGGAGAAAACGAGGTACTCTCAGTTCCATAGATTTATTCATGCCGGCCTATTTAACTTTGTATAATAACGGTATTGTCAAGTTGGTCTGACAATTGATTTAGTAACTACAAAATTACAAATTCTACTTCCAATGGAAGCTGTTGATCAACTTTCTTAGTTTAAACTGGTTAGCTATGACCCTATGGACAATCTAGACTGCTTTACGTCTTTGTAATCTTTGGCTTACTAGGATTACAAGAGGTCTTCTCAAGAAATGACTGCGGATTTCCTTCATTAATAAAAATAATGTCTCTGATAATCATATGATTCAATATATATTTGCAGAAGAAGCAAGGAAAGAGCAAGAGCTGAAGGATCTATTGACATTAGAAGAATACAGTGATATTAATGAGCTCAGCAACGGCGAGAATGGCAGTCTCAAAGTATTTAGCTATGCATGGGTCGCCGCTACAACAAATAACTTCTCTTCTGACTACAAATTGGGACAGGGTGGTTTTGGAAGTGTTTACAAGGTACTCATTTATTTCGAAACTAATATATATAGCTTCTTGGTTGCTTAATGAGTAATAAGTCTTATTTGATGAAGAACTTATTATTAGAAATTTTGGTATTAGGGACTAACACCTGAAGGACAAGAAGTAGCTATAAAACAATTGTCGGAAAGATCAACTCAAGGACTCATGGAGTTCAAAAATGAGGTGGTGTTGATAGCTAAACTGCAGCACACAAATCTTGTAAAGCTGCTTGGTTTTTGCATTCATGGGGACCAAAAGATGCTTATTTATGAGTTCATGCCCAATAAAAGTTTAGATTTTTACCTCTTTGGTAATTGATCCTACTTCCTATTTGGTAGTCCATATATTCTCTATGGTTGATGCATATTAACTCCCTAATTGTAAAGTTAACATTCATGATCATTCATAGATCCAGAAAGAAAAGAGTATTTAACTTGGGAGAAACGCCTCAACATCATTGAAGGAATTGCACAAGGCTTGCTTTACCTTCACAAGTACTCAAGAGTTCGTATCATTCACAGAGATATGAAAGTTAGCAACATATTGCTTGATGAGAATATGAATCCAAAAATTTCAGACTTTGGTATGGCTAAGATACTCAGGCAAAATGCCACAGAAGCAAACACAATGAGACTAGGTGGAACATTGTAAGTAGGAACTAGTTAGTAACATGTTGTTTTGCTTCATTTTTCAAGAGCTAACTTTGCTTATAACTACAAACTTGGTTTCCTTTTCATATAATATAGTGGTTATATGGCGCCTGAGTATGCCATGGAGGGTATTTTCTCTACAAAGTCCGACGTCTATAGCTTCGGAGTACTAGTACTAGAAATTATAAGCGGCAAGAAGAACAATCACTTCCGCAGTGAGGATGGCCCACTGAATTTGGTGGAACATGTAAGCCTAATACAACTTTAAGCATTGAATTTCATGTTTTTAACTTAACTGCTTGCAATCATTTTTGTTTGACTGCATTGCAGGCCTGGGAGTTATGGAACAGAGATGCAGTGCTACAGCTAGTAGATCCAGCAATAAGCAATGTGTGTGGCAATGAAGAACAGTTGCATAGGTGCATACATGTGGGACTACTATGTGTTGAAGATTTTGCAGTCGACCGACCATCTATGTCGGATGTGGTGTCGATGTTAGGCAATGAAAATATGGCATTGGCAAAGCTAAAAAAGCCTGCATTTGTGTCGAGATTCAGTGTGCCCGACAGGTTTCAGGATGGCAAGTCAGAGAAGTTCACAGTGAATGAACTCTCCATTTCAGTTATGGAAGGAAGATAGTGTTGCAATTTACTACTTTATAAAGATATTTTGTTGTGTAGTGGTACACTATAAATTCAAACTATTTAGACAGATGCAGTATGATGGGTGCACAAAGAAGATTCACTTTCAATAAACACGATTTGATATTTTGAATTTGTGTTCAAGTTTAATGAATTAAATATTAAATGTCGTTCATAATGAGTAACACAGTTAGATACGAGAATAGACATGAACTTAACAGATAATAGAAGACTTACCTTCAGTGGCTCTAAACCATCACAGATTCTTTCTGATACTTCTCTGCTTCACCATTCACCCATTTACCCGCTTGTACTTAGATCTGTATAAACTCCCCAACAAGCACAGAGTATAATAAGTCTCAAAAGACATATGCATTCCGTTAAAAATAAGGATCTCTAGCACAAGCAATCTTAAGAGCAGGGATTAGATCAAGGGCATACAGAAATTTTTCAATCAAATGCCTCACCATAAATCAAGACAAGTTTATTATCTAATAGATTGAAATACTACAAATAAGCAAAAAATATATGATTATCAACTGCCAAAAATTTATTTCCAGAGAAACCTGTATGCATGTGCAATTGTGCATCTGTAACTGCCATGAGATCAAAGCAGAAATGATAAAAACATCAATGCAAGCAAATAAATCTTCAATTCACAAGATGAATTAGTGAAGGAGAGGCAGATCAGAGACCTTGAGTCGTTTCTGAAGATGGAATTTATTGGCCTCAATCTCCTTGAGAGTCTCCGAGTGGGACTGATCAAGCTGGCGCAAAGTCCCTCAGTTTGACATCGTGAAGTCTGCATAGGAACTGGACTCTTCTCTCCCCTCTTATGTTTAGACCATATCAGTGGCGTCAGTGGAGTAGCATTAAACGAAGTGTACTTGAACTCGAAGTGCATGTGAGACTCGCAGGCGGATTTGTTAGGGCTCGCCGCTGCCGACGGTGAAATCTCGCCGCTGATTGCTTCCTCATCGACCTCTATTCTCTCTTCCTGATCAGTGTACTAGCCTGCTAGGACATGGTTCAAGTGTTAGAACTGTGACAGAGCTTGGGTTGCACTTCACATTGGCGGGATTTTCGGAACGAAAATCTGTAAATTTCCGCGGAACACTGGAAGTTAAGCTGGATTAGCATGTAGACATGTAGTGATCATGGGCTGGGCCATGTGGGACAAAGCCCTCAATGAAGCCCATTTAAAACCTCTATAGATATAAGAAACTAAGAAAGCGGCCTAACTTGTTCCCAACATCTTGAAAACAGGCCTACACTATTAGCCCAAACTAGAGTATGTTTAATTTAATTTTATTCTTTTGGGGCAAATTATATCCTGCATAGGGCTGTTAACGAACTGAACATAAACGAACGAAGGTTGTTCGTGTTCGTTTGTTAAGAATTTTAGAGTGTTCGTGTTCGTTTGTTAAGGTTTTTGAAAATTCTGTTAGTGTTTGTTTGTTAAGAGTGCATTAGTGTTTATTAACGTTCGCGAACACGTTCACGAACGTGTTTGTTTACATTAACGAACATGTTCGCGAACGTGTTTGTCAACGTTTGCGAACAAGTTCACGAACGTGTTCGTTAACGTTAACAAACATGTTCACGAACATGTTCGTTTACGTTCATGAGCACGTTCGTGAACCTTTAATAACCAAACACCTACACATGTTCATGATCACAATTCGTTCGTGAACAAGAAATAATCTACGTTCATGTTCGCGAACATTATTAAACGAACATTAAACGAGCTTGTTCACGAACATTATTAAATGAACACAAACGAGCTTGTTCACAATCTCTTAGCAAACGAGCATACAACTGTTCATGCTCTGTTCGTTTATTAACTGAGCACTAATTTTTGTTTGATAATAATTTGTTTACCTTAACAAACGAACATAAACAAACGCTTAGCGAACACAAACATGAATAGTTTGTCGAAAGCTCTATTCGCTAACACCCATAATCCTGCACCAGGGCCCAAAACGACGACGCTTCTATAAGTTGGTGGGGAGTTGACGCGACGGATACCGTTCCGTCCATCCAATTCCATTTATGTGTATTATGTTAAGAGTTTATGCGTATTATGTATTATTTAGATTATGTGTATTATGTTAGGAGTTAATGTATATTCTATTATACAATTATGTACATATGAAACAGAGAATTTTAAACAGGAATGAAAAAACAAAATTTCCAAAAAGAAAAATCGTTAATTAAAAGATACAAAATAACGTCATTTTGTGTTAGAACACACAATACATTGTGCGTCCTAGTGCACGATATAACGATTGTTTTTTTGGTGTGTTTGTCCCGTTCAAAAAATCTATTACAGTTTCATCATCCAATTTATTTTGTTACTTATAAATGTGCTTAACCTCCGCAAAAGTGAGTGAGATAAGAGTAATGTTATTAATTTCAAGAATAATATTACATGCATTTTCATTTTTATTCTAAGTTCTACTTTATTGACTTGGAATGATTGATTAAAAGAGCACTACAAGATATATAGTTTTTATTGCCTATGTGAACAATAATAGAGTTGCCATTTTCCCTATCTAAACCATAAATAATTACACGCGCATTGCACTTAGCACACAAAATTAGACTCTGAATAGTTTTTAAAGCCCACCCAGAAAGGTGACGAAAACTTAGCTTGAAACACAGTTTAGATCTGCCAATTTCTTCAACCCAATCCTCTCCTCACAAATTAGGCACGTACGGTACATGAAAGCGGTGAAGGATGAAGCTTCTAGCCATGGAAGTGCTTCTCTTCTTACTGATTTTGTGTTCTGTGGCCTCAGTTGCTTCGTCGCAGACGGACAGTATGAAACAAGGTGATATTTTGAACTCCTCGGAATCCACTTTTCTTGTTTCCGCCAGCGAGATTTTCACCTTAGGATTCTTTACGACGGGGAGGACCAAAATGACTTACTTAGCAATATGGTTGACCGATAGAATTGAGGTTGAAAGGCCGATATGGATAGGCAACAGAGAAGCGCCTCTCCCAACAAATTCCTCTGCTAAGCTTCTCATAGATGCTTCTGGGAGATTGATACTCACACACAATGAAAAACAAGGCAGTCCTTACCTGGTTTCATCCAAGCGAACTAGCCGGAATGTCTCAGCCACTTTACAGGATTCCGGCGAATTGGTACTCCGGGAGATGAACGCCGACGGCTCATGGGGGCAGGAACTGTGGAGTAGCTTCGACAACCCCACGGATACCCTTTTGCCGGGCATGAAGCTGGGAGTCAACCATAGAACGGGTCGGAAATGGAGTCTCACATCATGGCTGCACGATAATTCGCCGGCGCCCGGGGCGTTTAGTCTGGAATGGGAACCGAGCAGGCGGCGACTGGTTATCAAGCACCGAGGATTGGTTCATTGGAGCAGCGGAGAGCTGAAGAATGCGACACATTTCCAGCACTTATTCTTAGACTACGGCGACTTCAATGCCCAATTCCTTAACATTTCGACAAAAACAGAGGACTATATCACCTTTGCAGTCATGCTCAACCGATCTGATTATCCCGCGACTTTGAGACTGAACCCTCAGGGGCTCGTGTACGACACCAACAACGGTCAGGACATTATTGACGCCGGCGAGTGTTACGGGTACGAGAACAAAACGCAAGAATCAAAAGGGTGTGAGATTTGGCACCAACCGGCGTGCAGGGCGGGTGGGCAAACATTCGAGCAAAGATCTGGGGTCTTCAACTACACCCAATTAGGACTCGCAGTGCCTCAAAGCTACCCAGACGACGACTCCACTGCCAGCCTCAGTGACTGCAGAGAGAAATGCTGGAAGGACTGCGACTGCGTTGGCTATAAACGCTACGATGAAGGGTGTACGTACTGGAGGGGAACATCTTGGCAATTTCTACAGGACAACAGTGGCCAAACACAAGCGGTCTATGTTATAAACCGTCCAATTAAGGGTAGGTATTGATACTTCTTCTAATTTTATGTGTTTAGTTTGGTTCATAAAATTTTTTCATGATATTAAGTGATAGAATATATATCTCGACACCGACTCCGGGTGTCTTCATGATCTCATTTATAATCGGATCTGGACTAAATGGTTCGGGACTCGATCTACGGGTCAAAGTCAACGGTGACGGATCAAACCCGTCATCAAGCCTTATGCCTATAAAAGGGCATTTGGCCCTTCAAGTTAAGGGGGATCCCTTCATTTCCCACTCCACTTCCTCTCTCTAGAGGACATTATCCTCTCCTTTCTCCCTACAAAGATGTTCAAGAACAACATGAAAAAAAGATCCCTTTATCCATATCATTGTTCATACATATTATATACACTATGTACATTCTACCACGCGGGAATTAATACTATCATTAAGTTTATTGTTAGTATACAAAATTTATATATTTAATTAGAAATTATACTAAAAATACTATTAAACACAAAGAATCAAATTCAAAAATAAATAAAAAGATACTAAAAAAAATAAACGAAGAAAAAATAATTGATTTGATCACTGAATAATAAATAGGATCGATAAAATGAAACAGATGAAGTACTATATTGTATCATAGGATTGTCTTAGCAAAGAACATATTGATGGACTGTTCTAATAAAATCAAAATTTTAAGAATTAGACCAAAAACAATTTAGTCCCACAAAAAATTAATCTAATGGCACGAATTGAATGAGCTAGTATGAAATTTAGCGAACTAAAATAAATGACTTAAGCTCATTCTTTGTTTTGTAAGTTATGTAAAACAAAATATACATATGTAGTCTCATATTTTTAAATTTGTAAATAAAGTTTTTATAAATCTATTACCAAATAAAATATTCTTTATGAATATTAGTAATGAAAATTTTAAAATAAAATTTATTATAATTATTATATTAAGTGTACATATATTAATTATTTTTAGTTAGAATTCAGGTATGAAAGTGAAAATTAATTTTTTTTAGTACTATTGACTCTATTACAAGATAATATCTGTTATATATTTTCTCGGGAAAATGACACTTTTTCCCCCTAAGTTATATACTTATAGCACTTTTTCTCCCTAAATTATTTAAGTGGCTCTTTTTCCCCCTGAAATGTTAAATGGACATATTTACCCTTAAAATAAATATTTAAAATTAATATTTCATTTATTTTTATTCTCCAACAAATTATTACTATAATTTGGTTCAAACCAAACAGATACTATAGCAACTAAACCAAAATATTCCAATTACAATTTATAATCAAAACGCGATATTTAGAGTTTATTAAAATCGCGAACCGGAATGACTGATTCATGTTCCGAACTGAAAAAATAAAATACATTTATTGTTGAATTTAACTATTTTAAAATAAAAAATAAAATTTTAAAATAAAGACAGTTTAAAATCGCGAACTGGATCCGGAACCACCGGTTCACAGTTCATGATCCAGTTTTTTTTTTTTTTTTATTCTTAAATTTAATAAATTAAAATCCATGTATTGGGTTCTAGATCTGAATCATAACTGAAAACTTTTGATTCGATTGCTATAGTGTCTGGTTCAATTCGAACCGAACCGTGGTAATGCTACATATACGCAATAATTTGTTAGAGAAGTGAAATAAATAAAATGTTTGCTTTAAGGGTAGAAATGTCAATTTAATATATTTGGGGAAAAACCACCACTTTTAAAATAATTGATGGGGCTAATGTGCTTTCATAAATAATTGAGGGGGAAGAAGTGCTATAAGTATATAATTTAGGGGGAAAAGGTGCCATTTTCCCTATTTTCTCTAACGACTGCAACCCAAATCCTGTGATCTTCCCTCAAAGGGAGCCACAGAGGTGCCATTTGAGCACAATGTGCTTGGCAAAGTGAAAATTAATTGAATGATGTATAAGTTTATACTTATTAGTGTAAATGTGTTAACTGTTAAAAGTTTTGAGTGTTAATTTGAAAATAAAATTTTATTTGAACTTGTCCGATATGATAAACTGACAACCAGAAGTTTTAGGGTTAAAATAATGAATTTTAAAGGCAATTAAAAATCCAATTAACCAGAATTCATAAAACCCCATAGTTCAATAGTGCTAGCATGAAACATGATGAATTGACCCGATTGTCATTCCCATCCATATATATATATAGGCTGATATAACCCATGCTAATTGCTAGAACTGGATTGCAGAAGGAGATGGAAGTAGTAGCAGTAACTCAAAGAAGTGGAAATGGATTCTTATTATTATACCCATAGTAGTATTACTAGTATCCACTGTCCTGGTCGTCTTGCTTCTACTGCGCCGGAGAAGGAGAAAACGAGGTAATCTCAACTTCTTGCATCTATTCATGCCTATAGAACTGTGTATAACAATGTCTCCATAATCATACGATTGAATACATATATATTTGCAGAAGAAGCAAGGAATGAGCAAAGGAAAGAGCAAGAGCTGAAGGATCTATTGACATTAGAGGAATACAGTGATATTCATGAGCTCAGCAGCGGCGAGAATGGCAGTCTCAAAGTATTTAGCTATGCATGGGTGGTGGAAACAACCAATAATTTCTCATCTGATTATAAACTGGGACAAGGTGGTTTTGGAAGTGTTTACAAGGTACTTGATTTAATTCGAAACTAATACAGCTACTTCTTGATTGGTTAATGAGTAATGAGTCTTGTTTGATGATGCAAGAACATATTGATTACAGAAATTAAACTTTGATATTAGGGATTAACACCGGAAGGACAAGAAGTAGCTATAAAACAATTGTCGGAAAGATCAAAGCAAGGACTTGTGGAGTTCAAAAATGAGGTGGTGTTGATAGCTAAACTCCAGCACACAAATCTTGTAAAGCTGCTTGGTTTTTGCATTCATGGGAACCAAAAGATGCTTATTTATGAATTCATGCCCAATAAAAGTTTAGATTTTTACCTCTTTGGTAATTGCTCGCTTGCTCCCATTTTTCCATTTGGTAGTCTATATATTATCTATAGACTATAGTAAATGCATATTAACTCCCTAATTTTAGATTTAACATTCATGATAATTCACAGATTCAGAAAGAAAAGAGTATTTAACTTGGGAGAAACGCCTCAACATCATTGAAGGAATTGCACAAGGCTTGCTTTACCTTCACAAGTACTCAAGAGTTCGTATCATTCACAGAGATATGAAAGTTAGCAACATATTGCTTGATGAGAATATGAATCCAAAAATTTCAGACTTTGGTATGGCCAAGATACTCAGGCAAAATGCCACAGAAGCAAACACAATAAGACTAGGTGGAACATTGTAAGTTGGAAAGAGTTCAAATTATTCATTTTTCAAGAGCTAAGTTTGCTTAAAATAACTACAAACTTGATTTCCTTTTCAACCTAATGTGTATGTTTTAATATAATATAGCGGTTATATGGCCCCTGAGTATGCTATGGAGGGTATTTTCTCTACAAAGTCCGACGTCTACAGCTTTGGAGTACTAGTATTGGAAATTATAAGTGGCAAGAAGAACAATCACTTCCGCAGAAAGGATGGCGCCTTGAATTTGGTGGAACATGTAAGCCTAATACAACTTTAAGCATTGAATTTCATGTTTTTAACTTAACTGCTTGCAATCATTTTTGTTTGACTGCATTGCAGGCCTGGGAGTTATGGAACAGAGATGCAGTGATACAGCTAGTGGATCCAGCAATAAGCAATGTGTGTGGCAAAGAAGAACAGTTGCATAGATGCATACATGTGGGACTACTATGTGTCGAAGATTTTGCAGTCGACCGACCATCTATGTCGGATGTGGTGTCGATGTTAGGCAATGAAAATGTGGCCTTGCCAAAGCTAAAAAAGCCTGCATTTGTGTCGAGATTCAGTGTGCCTGATAGGTTTCAGGATGGCAAGTCAGAGAAGTTCACAGTGAATGAACTCTCCATTTCAGTTATGGAGGGAAGATAATGTTGCAATTTATTGTAAAAATATTTTGTTAAATGTGTTGCACAAAGAAGATAATAATTCACTTTCAATACACTTGAGTTGGGATTTTAAATTGGTGCTCATGTTTAATGAATTAATTATTACATGGTATGCATAAGGACTAATACAAGAGAGATTGAGCCAACACGTGCAACTCAATTAGTTCTTGAGTGGTAAATTGTGATTAAGGACATAGAATTCAGTTTGGACCGTCACATTGTAAGAGTTACACCCAATGCAATGGGTTCCTTGTGGACACTAGACATTGGTCCTACCACCTAATGAACAACTGAGCTATGGTGATTTACAACTTCACTATCTTGAACAATTGAGTTATCCTGTTGGGCTGGGGTGTAAGGGAGTATACATATTTTTAATAAGACATATGAGAAAGTCTTGTTCAAAACCCTACTTATAAATAAAATATCTAATTAAGCATATGCATTCAAAATATAAGAAAAGTCCAATGTTCTCATGCGTTGACAAAATCCTTATGGTACTACAAACGACCAATTATTGATTTATTCCAATCCGTTTAGAATGAAAGGAGTGAGAAGTATGTCATTAAAGTCTTAACAAAGAGTTGAAAATTAAGACATTTATGAGTTAAAAATTATTGTCCACATCACCAAATGTTATTAAATGAAAGAAGTGGAGACGAGATGCGGCCTGCGGGCATGTTATCCCGGGATACCGTATCCTTCCCCAGTGCAGGGATAGTGGAAAATCAAAGACGCCGGATCCGATGAACCTTCTTCTTGTCTTCCTACTGATTCTGTATTCCGGCGGGGACTCCGTTGCTTCATCGGTAACTGACACTCTGAAACAAGGCGATGCGTTGAACTCCTCTGATTCCACTTTCCTTGTTTCTGCCACCACCAACTTCACCTTAGGATTCTATACGCCGGCGGGAACCAACACCACTTATTTAGCAATCACCTCATATGACTTGTATCAGCCAGTATGGATAGGCAACAGAGATGCACCTCTCCCCACAAATTCTTCTGCCACCCTTCACATGGATGCTTCCGGGAGATTGATACTCACACATAATGAAACCCGAGGCACCCCTTACCTGCTTTCTTCAAAGCAAACTAGCCTTAAAGTCGCAGCAACGTTACTGGATTCCGGCAACTTTGTGCTCCGGGAGGTGAACTCCGATGGTTCATTCGGGGAGGAATTGTGGAGTAGTTTCGACTATCCCACGGATATCCTTTTGCCGGGGATGAAGTTAGGAGTTAACCATAGAACGGGTAGGAAATGGAGTCTAAGATCATGGCAGGACGATGATATGCCGGGGTCAGGGGCGTATAGTCTAGAGTGGGAACCAAGCAAGCGTCAACTGGTTATCAAGCATCGAGGAGTGGTTCAATGGGGTAGTGGAGAGTTGATGAATGCAACTGGTTTCCAGCACATATCCTCCTCCTACGGCGCCCTTCAAAACCTTAAATTCATTAACGTTTCAACAAAAGAAGAAGAGCATTTCACCTACGCACTCACGCCTAACACAGATGTACTTCGAATTTTATCCCGTGAAGACCAAAAGAGTTATCGTCTCGCGGCTTGGAGATTGGACCCCCAAGGCACATTTTCCTTCACTTCTAATGGTGAGGTGATTATGGACGTGGGCGAGTGCTACGGGTACGAGAATGAAACTCAGCAGTCAAAAGGGTGTGAGTTATGGGCACAACCCAAGTGCAGGGGTGATGGCCAGACGTTTGAGGAGAGATCAGGGAGATTCACGAATTACACCGAATTCGGACCCGAACAACCAAAAACCTTCACGACCCAGAACTCTAGTGGTAGCCTCAGTGACTGCAGGGAGAATTGCTGGAAGGACTGTGACTGCGTTGGCTATCAAGGCTCCGGTTACGGGTGTACGTACTGGAGGGGAACATATTTGCAATTTGATCAGGACAACAGTGGTAGAACAGAAAGGATTTTTGTTTTGGACCGTCCAATTAAGGGTAAGTAAATCCAATTATTCTTACAATAAGATAGGTAGGTGGTGCTTTTTCGACAATGAAGGGCTAATTACACTAGTGTTTGATTGCGGAAGGAAATGACAGTCACAGTCACAGTAACCCAAAGAAGTGGATAAGGATTTTTGTACCCATACTAGTAGCTACAATATTCACAGTCCTGCTTGTGTTGCTTCAATTGCGCCGGAGGAGAATACGAGGTACTACAGACTGCAATCTTCAAAGTATCATACATTTATTCATGTTTATTCAATTCGATCATACTATTAGTTTAGTAACCACAAAGTTCTAAGTTTGACTCCATGTAAGAATGGTCTATTGACCTTCTCAATTTGAATTGGTCAACTATGACCAACCTAGACTCGTTTAAAGCAGACTGGCGAGCGGAACCCACCAAAGCCCGTCATTTGACAGGCCTGACAAGCCCCGCGTGCCCCGCCAAAGCCTGCTAATTTGGCAATCCATAAAACTCAAAGTCCACTCCGGATAAGGGGGCTAAGCTCACTTTGACGACTCTACCTTTGGGTACTCGGGTAGTAACTACATGCTTTTTCAATAAGTTAAAGATGCATTGTAGTATTATCATACTAACCATAATAACCATAAGATGGAGAGGGAGCCAGTCAAACTTGCTTTGCATTTCCCCACATATTGATGATCTGATCTAATCAAATATATATTTTAGCAGACAAAGCCAAGAAAGAGCAAGAACTAAAGGATTTATTTACGTTAGAGGAATATACTGATATTCACGAACTGGACAAAGGTGAGAATGGCAATCTCAATTTTTTTAGCTATGCTTGGGTGGTTGCTACAACAAATAATTTCTCATCCCACAACAAACTTGGACAAGGTGGTTTTGGAAGTGTTTACAAGGTAATGTTTTCGGTTTAAATTTCAGTACTGATAACTATATGTTCCATGACTTCTTGTTGCTTATTGTGCATTCTTTTATGAATCAACCTATTGACACACTCTCTCTTCAAAAAGCACAAGTAATAGAGCAAAATAATTGATTTTAACATACCTTAATGTTAGGGCATTACACCGAAAGGACAAGAAATAGCTGTAAAACAATTATCCGAAAAATCAACACAAGGAATGAAGGAGTTTAAAAATGAGGTGGTGTTGATAGCAAAACTCCAACACACAAATCTTGTAAAGCTGCTTGGCTTTTGCATTCATGGGGACAAAAAGATGCTCATTTATGAGTTCATGCCCAACAAAAGCTTGGACTTTCACCTCTTTGGTATTTACTAGTGCTTCAGTCACTTGAATGCATATTTTAACAATTTATTGGTATAATAGTCTATATATTATCTACATTTATGATGCATATTGATCAACTCCATAGTTTTAGATTTAAAACACTTACCATAATGCAACAGATCCAAGTCGAAAAGAGCATTTAACTTGGGAGAGGCGCCACAACATCATTGAAGGAATTGCACAAGGCTTACTTTACCTTCACAAGTATTCAAGAGTTAGAATAATTCATAGAGACATGAAAGCTAGCAACATACTACTTGATGAGAATATGAATCCAAAAATTTCAGACTTCGGTATGGCCAAAATACTTCGGCAAAATGCCACAGAAGCAAACACAATAAGGCTTGGTGGAACATTGTAAGTTAGGAAGAAATTCAATTTATTCATTTTTTATTTCACCTCATTTTCAAGAGCAAAGTATACTTAAAACTGAAAATTTAAATTCCTTCGCAATCTAATGTGTATTTTCAATGTGAAATAGCGGTTACATGGCTCCTGAGTATGCTATGGAGGGCATTTTCTCTACAAAGTCTGATGTCTACAGCTTTGGAGTACTAGTATTGGAAATTGTAAGTGGCATGAAGAACAATCACTTCCACAGTGAGGATGGGCCCCTGAATTTGGTGGAACATGTAAGCCTAATACAACTTCAAGCATTTGATAGCATGTTTTCAATCTAATTGCTTGCAACTATTATTGTTTGGCTGCATTGCAGACCTGGGAGTTATGGAACAGAGATGCAGTGCTGCAGCTAGTGGATCCAGCAATAAGCAATTTGTGTGGCAATGAAGAACAGTTGCATAGATGCATAAATGTAGGACTACTATGTGTAGAAGATTTTGCAGTCCATCGACCATCTATGTCCGATGTGATTTCCATGTTAACTAATGAAAATCTAGCATTGCCAAAGCCAAAAAAGCCTGCATTCGTTTCTCGGTTCAGTGTGGCCGACGGATTTGAGGAAGGCAAGTCAAAGAAGTTCACAGTGAATGAGCTCTCCATTTCAACTATGGAGGGAAGATAGTGTTGCAATTTTACTGTACTATTTTATAAAAATATTTTGTTATAGTGACACTATAAATTCAAACTATTCAGATGGATGCATTATAGTGAGTGCACAAAGAAAATTCACTTTCAATAAACTTGATTTGATATTTTAAATTTGTGTTCAAGTTTAATGAATTAAATATTAAATGTTGTGCATAATGAATAATAGAGTTAGATATGAGAAGAAACATGGACTTAACAGATAATAAAAGACTCACCTTCATTGCCTCTAAACCATCACAGATTCTCTCATATATTTTCTGATACTTGTCTGCTTCACCATTCACTCGTTTACCCGCTTGTACTTAGATCTGTATAAACTCCCCAACAAGCAGAGTATAATAAGTCTCACAAGAAATGTATTCCATTAAAAAAGTGATACTCTATTATATAAGATTATCAACTACGAAAAAAATTATTTCCAGATAACATCAGCGTACAGAGAGGTCAAATATATTCATAATTTATGCATATAGACACTACATAAATAAACCTGTGCCCCATGTCTGTCAGACTGAGATCTGCAAACTCTCTAGTCGCTGATTGGAATGCCTGACAGTATGAGGAATCAGATCAGGATTGATAAATCTCAGTGCACATTCTTTTGTTCAGAAGTTGAAAGTTCACACAACTAAACATTTGGGTTAACAGTCAAATGCCAAACAGAAAAATGCCAATAACTATCAATTACGTAACCTGGTGATCCTGGCCTATCAGAACTTGGGTTCTAGAAAGTAATAATAACAAGTTGCAGTTACTATAGGAATACATAACTAATCAAACCTGTTCCACAAGTATTGATGTCTAACAAAAACAGTAACAAAAACCTGTATGTATGTGCAATTGTGCAGCTGTAACTGCCAGGAGATCAAAGCAGAAATGACAAAAACACCAATGCAAGCAAATAAAATCTTCAATTCACAAGATGAATTAGTGAAGGAGAGGCATAGACCTTGAATCGTTTCTGAAGATGGAAATGATTGGCCTCAGGCTCCTTGAGAGTCTCCGAGTGCGGTTGATCAAGCTGGAGCTTGACAGTATCCAGTCCAGATGACGCAAAGTCCTCAGATCGGCGACTGTCTTGAGGTTCTCGAGAGACACCTACCATCGCGAAGTTTGCATAGGCACTGGATTCTTCCCTCCCCTCTTATGTTTCGACCATATCAGTAGCGTCAGTGGAGTAGCATTAAACGAAGTGAAGTTGAACTCGAAGTGCCTGTGAGACTCGCAGGCGGATTTGTTAGGGCTCGCCGCTGCCGACGGTGAAGTCTCCAGAAATCTTGCCGCTGATAGCTTCCTCATCGATCTCTATTCTCTCTTCCTCAGCTCTTTCTGATCAGTGTGCTTGGAGCATGGTTCATTGGTTCAAGTGACTGTGACAGCTTTGGGTTGCAATTCACTTTGGCGGGACTTTCGTAACGAAAATCTGTAAATTTCCGCGGGACGCTGGAAGTTAAGCTGGATGAGCATGTAGTGATCATGGGCTGGGCCACGTGGGACAAAGCCCATATAAGAAAACGGAAAATGTTACACCTATTCTCAAATTATGCTTTTAACTTTTACTCAGTTTTTTTGCTAAAAAAAAAAAAATTTAACTCAATTTTTATTGTAAAAAAAAAAAAAAAAAGAACAAAGTGTATGACCGACCTTTTTTTTTTTTTTTTTTAAATCCGACCCTTTCTTATTACTTATTAGGTAATCAAAATATGCCACATAATATAGAATAGTAAAATTAAATAAGAAATAAGAGTCTATGTAATATTACGCCGGATAACTATGTAATAGATAAATCATTCCATTTCACTTTCGTACTCTCTTTTTACCCCGATATTAAAGGAAACCATAAAAAATTTTAGGCAGAATATACCATGGTCAAGCCACATCAACTATACTAAGGATCTTGTGGTCCAATGATACCAAGTTAAACTCTCACATGAGAAATTGTGAGTTTGAGTCTCAGCATAGGCGCTATAGATATTGCATACTCTAATAGAATTAATAGTATTCAAAAAAATAGTAACTAGTAACCTAGTCAATAATATTTCCATCACTTGAAGTCTCAATTATAAGTTGTCATTAAATTTGTGCACAAATTTACTCATCGGTACATATAATTTATGCTACAATTTCAATAGCTTGATAACAACTCTTTAATTGATACAAACTCTCTCATAATCTCATATATTTATAAGAATATTTGCCTTGCTCACATACTTTCGGAGACAGAGAATGTTTGTAATTCCTTGTCGGGGACGGGGATACCCCGCCTCGTCCCCGAATAATATATATATATATATATATATATATATATATATATATATATATATATATATATATATATATATATAAATAAAGTAGTGCAACAGTATTGTAAGTTTTTTAGTTTTTAAAATTAATAATTATACTAATTTAAAATTTTGATTAAGAATTAAACGGGGACGGGAATTTCTAATTTCCCGCAAGAATTAGAATAGAAAATATTTTTAATTTTTTGTCGAGGACAGGAATGGAGTCGGGATTTCAAGGACGAGAACGAGAAATATACTCCCCGCTCCCGCCCCGCCCCGTTGCCATCCCTATGAAAACTCCAAGATCCATCTCAATGCATGTTTTACTCTTTGAAGATAGCACATCATTCCGCCGCCAAGCTACACGCAATCCCATTTAGTAAAAAGTTTAATATTTTAATTTTGTGTTCACCTTCAATAAATTAAATATTACATGTCACGTGATATCATAACATTATATTCTATGAAACAATAGTAGGACTTGGTCAAGAGCATGTTTCTAATATTTTATATTCCACAAGAAGCTTTTATATTCCACACGAAGCGACAACATGACAACATGAATTTTCAAAGATTTCATCTACCTATAGTAGGTAGATAGACATATAGTCAATGTATATAATATTTTTCTTAGGCAAAAACTCTTATAGATCGTGTATGTGAGATGGGTTAGACGATATTTTGTAACTACTACATTTTATTTCAGTTTTTCTCATAAATATAACTCTTTAACCTTTAATAGTACATTTTGATTTAAAAATACAAAATATTATATTTTTGAACAAAAGTATTATATGTTTTTCTTATAAGTATTTCACTTTCTCTCATAAGTAGCAATCAATCAATTTATTCATGACTAATATTACATTTTTTCTCATTAGTGAATGTTTATCTTCTAAATATTACATTTTGATTTAATAGATTTTTGAAAAATGACACTTTTGACCCCTAAATTGTTTCACTTTTAAAATTTTGGTCACTGTAAATTTAGCATATTAATTGTCCATAATGTTACACTTGTAGTCCCTTGTGTTATATAATTGTCAAACTTCATTAAGATATGATGTTATTTTTGTCATTTAGAATCAATATTCACGGTTAAAATGGTGTTCGCATGAAGAAATAAACTAAAACTTTTTGCCATTGTTATTGATTTTAAATAACAAAAATAATCTCATAAAAAAAATTTGCTAATGGAGTTTGATAATTATATAACACTAAGAACTGAAAGTGCAACATAATAGATAAATTAAGGGGTTTTAAAAAAAAAAAAAAAAGATAAATTAAGGGACTTTCTTTTTAAATTGACTAACGACGACCAAAATTCTAAAAGTATAACAATTAATTAAATTGTTTGTTGAGCATATAACCATTAATGTGCAATCTAACTACTAGATTAGGCGTTTAGTTGAGATGGAGCATATGCTTCAATTTGGTATCAGAGCTAGACCAAAGGTCGTGGGTGGGTTCGAAGCAACTACGGTCCACGTGTTGCTTGGAACCCACCGCACACGTGAGGGGGCGTGTTGAGTATATAACCATTAATGTGCAATATAACTACGTGAGGGGTTGAAATGAAGCACATTTTTCAATTTTGTCAAAAGTGTTTTTTTACTAATTTTTTTTCTATTTATGCTGAAAAATGAAAATGTTACTAATCAAAAATAAAGAGCCGTGAGAGGGTATGCTCACCCATTTTCTTGACATTAAAGTCAAGTCAATAAGTGAACAAAAGGAAATTTGCTTGTAATAGCAAAAATCACTTTTCTTTGATCGAGTCGTAATACTAGTTGAGAAAGAAAAGTTAAACTCTCCAAGGGACCGATCATTGGTGTTTAAGCAGGAAGAAGGAAAACGTACAAAAAATGGAGTGGATGAATGATAATGTAGTGATGGAGGAGGTTGTGTTCTTCCTACTGATTCTGTGCTCCCTGCCTTCAATTGCTTCATCATTGCAGAGCGACACTTTACATCAAGGCGATGTGCTGAACGCATCTGATGAATCCGATTTACTTGTTTCTGCGAACGAAAATTACACTTTGGGATTCTTTATGCCGGAGAGAACCAAGAGGACCTATTTAGCAATACGGCCCTACTCTGGTTCGGATAACCCGGTATGGATAGGGAACAGAGATGCACCTCTGCCGGCAAATTCTTCTGCCAGCCTTCAAATAGATGCTTCTGGGAGATTATTGATACTCACACATGATGAAGGACAAGGTAACTCTTACCTGATTTCATCAAAGAAAACTAGCCTCAATGTCACAGCAACTTTACTGGATTCCGGCAACTTGGTGCTCCGGGAGGTGAACACCGATGGTTCATTCGGAGAGGAACTGTGGAGTAGTTTTGACAATCCCACGGATACCCTTTTGCCGGGGATGAAGTTAGGAGTGGACCGTAGAACGGGTAGGAACTGGGCTCTAAGATCATGGAAAGACGATGATATTCCGGCGGCAGGGGCATTTAGTCTAGAGTGGGAACCAAGCAAGCGTCGACTGGTTATAAAGTATCGAGGGGTGGTTCGCTGGAGTAGTGGAGAGTTTATAAGCGCTACTGATTTCCAGTACATCGGCGGCACTCCAAACTATTTCGTTAACATTTCGACCAAAGAAGAAGAGTATTTCAGCTGCCTACCAACGCTTAATCCATATTTACCTCTCGAATTTCGTCAGGGTTGGAGATTGGACCCTTTGGGCATTTTGAACATAGCATCTGATACTGGGTCGATTATGCACCTGGGCGACTGCAACGGAT